CAACCAGGGCAAAGCTGATATTGTCCTCTCGTTTGCCCACAGAAGTAAATATGCAAACCACTTCTTATAATCAAAACAAATTCTGGTTAATAATGGCAAAAATGATAGTGAAGATATAATATTTTATTGAAACAGAGAACAGAAAGTCAGATTTTCCTCTAAACCCTGACTCATTCGCTCTGTCTGCTGTAGCTCATGGAGATTTCTTTCCCTTTGACGGGCCCCGGGGTGTGCTGGCTCACGCCTTTCAGCCTGGAGAGGGGATAGGAGGAGACGTGCACTTTGATGAGGATGAAACATGGACAGCAGGGAGGCAAGGTTTGTCAGTCAAACCCTGTTGGTGATTCTGGTGACATGGTTTCCACAGGAAGTAAAGCACAAAGGCTGATCCTAAGGCATGAGTAACAAAGGTTCATATCAGACTTTCAGACTTTGCTGCAACTCTTTAAATCAATCAATGAACAGAAATCGTTAAGCACTCGTACCCCACCACTTCACATAAATTTGCATCCCTCTATGCTGGGGACAGCCAGTGCCCAGAGGCATTATGTTTGTTATGCGATCGTCATGAACACCATATCTAAAGAACGCCTTGAAGAGATTTCCTCAAAGTTGGTACAAATGTTCACTTGAATTCATAGATAAGCTAACTAGAATTTGATGGTCAAAGGTCAAAGGCTAAAGTGGCCTCACAAAACATGTTTGACCTCCTGAACATGATATCTCGAATCTGACTTTAAGGTATTTCTTCAAATTTTGACCAGTGGTCACTTGGACTCAAAGATGAACTGAATAATGACACAGGCAGCAGTGTGGCGACACTCTCCAGTGTAATTCTATGCTAATTGACCCTTTAAAGAAACTAATGGGTCTTTGATGCTGTATTTCAGGTTACAGTCTGTTTGCTGTTGCGGCTCATGAACTTGGCCACTCACTGGGTCTGACTCACTCGAGGGACCCCTCTGCTATCATGTACCCCAATTACAGGCATCACAGCAGTACACAGTACTCGCTGTCCAAGGATGACGAGCTCGGTATCCAAACACTGTACGGTGAGGAGCAAGTTCAAATTTTAAACATATTATTTGCTCAAAATGTCACTCACAGAGAATTTTACTGTTTATCATTTAAAGTCTCCTATAATATTATTTCTCAGGCAAACCCACCAAAACTCTAGAAACTCAACAGGTTCCCAAAAAGTGTGACCCCAACTTCTCTTTTGATGCAGCCACTATGATTGGAAATGATATTGTTTTCTTTAAAAACAGGTAGGTTATGGTTTAATTATGATGACTGGATTTACTATGGTCTTGTTGCACTGTAACTGAGTCTACTTGTTTCAATCCAGGTACATGTGGATGAGGACAACGTGGGCAACCTACTGGAATCGCCTGAGAGAGGGCCACACCAGCACGTATTTGCCGAGCATCAATTCTCACGTTGATGCCGCTTATGACATCCCGGCCAAAGGCGTGGCATACATATTCACTGGTAGAGTAATGGGCAGTCTGCAAAGCATCACTTAGGCCATGTCAGCATGACAAGGCTGGATTTACAGGAGAGCACAATATTGCACCCAAATTACAGCCTTGTGCAACCTAAGTGTTGCAGATCATGCAAGAGGGGAATAGAGTTTGGCAGTGCTTGTGGTGTGTTGCTGTTTTTCATAATATCCCAAAATGCAGTGACACGGCTGTGTTTTTCCAGGTCATAAGTACTGGGTGGTTCAACGGCTTAAGATGAAAAGTCGCGCTGGCTCCATCTACGAGTTCGGCCTCCCCGCCAGAATCAGGCAGGTCGACGCTGCCGTGCATATCAGCGAATATGGGAAAACAGTTTTCTTCACTGGACAGTTTTATTACAGGTAATGTGTTAGTTACCAAGGTGTTACACAATTAGATAAAAGCACAGTGACATTTGAAAAAAAAAACAAACTCTATGAATAATTTTCTCATTTTGCCTCCAAAACTGAAAATCAGCTAAAATAGCTAAATAGTAAAACTATCAACTCACAAATTTTAGAGGCCCAGCCACTCAATTTATTTTACATAAAGGTGACTTCATTGATTTATTAATGTTTTTTTCCCAATATTTAATTATAGATCATGGTCTTTCAGTTTGAGGAAAGGTTTATTGATTTCACATTCAGATTCTAATTCTTTCATTCCATACCCTGCGCTCATACTCAAATAGCCCTGTTTTTGCTTAGATTTGCTCTGCTTGTGCTCAAACTTGGTGCTTGTACTCAGATGGTCACTCTACAGCTTTATTATTACACCAGCTTCCCATCAGAAGTAAAGTTAACAGACCAATAACAAGGGTGGGACAAGTTAATTTGTTATCTCGACACCTGGCATTCTAATGCCAGGGGAATTTCGACAGACTTGTTGCCCAAAATATCCAAATAAAGAAGAAAAAATCCAAGAGCAGATGATAAACCTGAGAGTGGATGCTTCAAATGCCTCAGAAACAGCCTTGGAAGAGCTGAAGCTGCAAGAAATCTAAACGCAAGCAGGGTTTTGAGTGAAAGCATCAGAAAACCTGAATGTGAAATCAATGTCCAACAATCACTTGAATAAAGATAGAACAAAACATATTCATTGATAATCAACATAGAAAATCAGTGTAATTAATCAATCCTTTAACACAGACGTTTAAACTACAGCTGAACTACTTTAATCCTGGAACTACAGTTCAGTGCTGGACACCAGTTTAATCAGGGAGCATCATACATTAAAACATCATATTGTTTGACCTGGACGATCCAAACAAACTCATTTGAATGATCAACCTTCAGGTACGATGAAAGCAAGAGACGAATGGACCCTGGATTCCCCAGACTCATCCAAACCGACTGGCCTGGAATCCCGAGAAGGGTCGATGCTGCATTCAAGTTACATGGTAAAAAACCAAAACATAGTGTGGTCATGAACTCTATATAATGTGGACCTGAGCAGCAGGATTCAAATGGAATACAGCTGAAATAGAAGCTGTAATTTCTTGTTTTCACCGTGTTTAGGTGGCAGACGGGTGGGGTTTACCGCACAGCACACACTTTCATACAGAAAACACCACTTTTTCCCAGTTTTATAACAATGTGTCAGTGAAGCAGAACTTCTCTGTTTACAGCTGAACATTACTGCTCTTATTTCCATCAAATTGAGGGGATGACACACACTCAACATATAACAAGAAATAAAGATACTTCAGAAAGTCTCTCTTTGCTCATGTGATCTGAAACAGTCTATGATTTTGTGTTGACAGGCAGCATCTTCCTCCTCAGTGGGATAAAGTCCTACCAGTACGACTTCAAGAAAAACCGCGTGGTGAAAATCATTTCAGCTAATTCTTGGCTGGGATGTTGATACAGCAGCATCAGGGCTGATTAAAAAGAGAATAATTTCTATGTATAGTCCAGAAGAACTCTTGAGAAGGGAAAGTTCTTGAAGTAAGATAATCATTACATAGCATTACGTATTGAACTGCAATGTTACTTTGGGGCATGTGCATACCTGTATATAAATTATACCTCTGACATCCCTCTGGGGCACACTGGTCCTGTCTGTCCTGTGTAAAGATGCACAGTACTAAAATTTGAAAATCAAGTTTTATTTTTATTTTTAAATTGAAATAAAAAATAAATATTAACTAACTAATGGGGCACAAACAAATGAATTATGTTTTTTTTCAAATTTATGTTTACAATTTAAGACGATTCATAATTTTGATTTGAAACTACTACACCAATTTAAGTATTTTTATATTTTGAAAGTATTTTTTTGGTAAACTATTTTCTCTTATAAATTGTGGAATCTTTTAATCTTTTGAACCAAAACATTTTCATAACAGTGTTTAAAAATGTATTTAAGTGTAATTAAGAGCCGGGTGATGGCTCGACATCAGTAAACACTTTAATTGTGATTCAGTTGTAAATCTAAAACATGTGAAAAGTTGATGTGTCTCATTAAAGGGAACTTAACACATTTTTTTATTAAAGTTCTCTGATGATTTTTAATCAACATAACTTTGCTCTGCAGGGTAGTGGTGGCAGAATTTATTCCAATTTCCAGATATTAATATCCTAGTTCAGATTAAAAAATCAAAGAATCACTTTAAATTAAAAAGGTAAAAATACTCAATGCTGAGGGAAAACAGCTGAATGTACTTTTAAACCTCAGAATTATATGAATTTAGTATGAATACCTCAAAACTGTACTATATGAGTAAATGACTTCCACCAGTCCTCCAGTGTTGAACCCTTTCTCTTTGCAAGTGAGGAGGCCTGTGTTTGTTACATTTTTTAAGATAAACACAAACATAAATAGGCACTCAAACATAACCTTTGGTGCTGTCAAAGGGCTCCTGAAATTTGTGCAAATCAACATTGGCAACATCCCCAAATGCCAGGGAGCGGTATGGTTGCATGCAGCCTCTATCCGTGTTGACCTCAGTGCTTGGAGGTTAAGCAGTAAAACATGGGGTAATACTGTTTGCATAGAACACACATGTTTACCACCAAACTGAACTGTGGTCAGTGTACATGAGAGGTCGAAAAGCACAAGTGAACATTGTAAACAAAAAGAGAACCATTAGCAAAGTGACAGACTTGATGTTTGCTATTGTAAAGGAAACACATTTTGCTCATGTTACAGTTCAATTGATGTCGATGTAAGTTTCTGTTTTCTCATAAATCAAAATAAGGGAAATTAAGCGAATCAACATCATTTACTCTCAATATTTCAATATTGATTTTCAACAACATGATACATGGTTTGGTGCATTCAATCAAAAATGACTCAAATTTGACAAATGATGCAAAACTTTTAAATAAAAGAAAAAATAGGATATGATGACGATGTTGGATAAAAGCCTCAAGACAACCGAACCTAACACGATCTAAATGTTTTGCAAATATTTTAAACATGGAGTTAAACTGATGGTATCATCTCCTCCCACTGTGTTATCTCAGGGGCCACTCTTTACCCCCCCTCTGGCACAGGGGCTTATCTTAACATGCTGGAATGCTCTTATTCAGCTTTTATCAGAACAATACACACCCCGAGATGTTGACGCTGCTCTTATAAGAGGAGAGGGGATAGAGAGGAGGAAACATCTTAACACGATGTCTCTCACTGATTTTTTGATAGTGCTGCTGGCTTGTTTGACGCTTTGTCAGTCAGCACCAACCATTGCTCCAACCATTTCACCAGAGGATGAGGACCTGGCTCAGGTAACGCAATGGATAGCTTGTGTATATGAGAAGCCAGGAGCTGTCAGTCATTGGAAAGACCAATGTAGGGGAGACTATTTTGCCTTATCATCATGATAACTCTCATTATCATCTTTTGTTGATTATTATCTTTTCCTCTCTGTCTGTCAGGCATATGTCTCTCGGTTTTATGGGGATGTCGGTACAAGAAACTCAACACTACGAAGTCTCGTCAATGATACATTCAGTGAGGACTTGGAGTCCATGCAGGCTTTCTTTGGCCTAGAGGTGATTACAGCAAATTGAATATTTTATCTTCAATAACAAGTAAGAAATGCTGATCTTTGTGGAAATTCTAAGCAATTAGATGTCATGTCTTACTCTTTCTTAAGAATATAGAAAACTGTATTTTTATCTCAAAAGATAAAACACAATAGTCAGTCCTCTGAAATGCTTTCTTGAAATCATGTATAATATGACTCTTAATAATGCCACTACTGATAACCAGGTGACTGGCGTCTTGAATAAAGAGACAGTGGAGGTGATAAAAGCACCGAGGTGTGGTGTGTCAGACATCAGCCGATATGGACACTTCCACGGGAAACCCAAATGGAACAAAAGACTAATCACATATAGGTAAGAAGATCTGAGGTCAGTGCTGCAGTTACATCATTTCATTTCATTTTTTTAATTTCATCACGGTCCATGAATTATTCTCTGACAACTCAAGGAAAATATCAAAATATAAAACGATCTCACAATGTTAATGAAAGTGAAATACAAAATTCCTGGATCTCTAATGGCTTCTTCTCTGATCCATATCACGTCCTTCCACTGAGTTTCATTCTAATCTGTCCAGTAATTTTTATATAACCAACAAACAGATGAACAAACAAATGCGTATTAAAACATAACCTTGGCGGAGGTAATGACCCAACACTGAATATGAGGACCATGTCCTTCTCTGGGCTCTTGTAGGCGGCCACCTTGTTGACTACTTAGGGGACATGCACCAACATTGATAAGGTTCTTTTCTGACCCAAGCCACATCCTTCCACCAAGTTTTGTGATAATCTCTTCAGTAGTTTTTTCATAACCTTGCTTACAAACAAACAAACAAACAGACCAATCGACCGACGGGTGAAAACCTCCTGGATTGAGGTAAATACTGTATAACAATGACCCTAAAGAGACAATACTGACACCAACGATGATCATGATCTATGGTCTGAATAGGATCACCAGGTACACTCAAGATCTGAGTCAGAGGGATGTGGATGCAACCATCGCTCAGGCCTTCCAACTCTACAGTGACGTCATCCCACTGGACTTCAAACAGATCTACGCCAACAACGCCGACATCATGATCCTCTTCAAGGGCGGATGTGAGTCTAGATGAAATAAAAGTTTTTTTTCTTAAACTTCTACCAGTAAAGGAAGAAAATTAATAAATAAAAGAGCAAAAATTGCAGATTCAATCCCATAGTTTTGTATAGACTCTTAACTATGGATTACATTATCTTCTTCATGCTTCTGCAGATCACGGGGACTTTTACCCTTTTGACGGGGCGGGTGGAGTCCTGGCTCATGCTAACTCTCCTGGACAAGGCCAGGGGGGAGACACACACTTTGATGATGATGAAACCTGGACTCTTGCCCAGAGAGGTAAACATATCTATTTTGGTGAAGCTGCAACTGTCCACTGTCCCTGTCCACTGAGGCTGAAGTATATAATCTGTGTAGTTTTCTGTTTGACAGATGAGACCTGTCAACTGTTCAGTTTGTGAGGGGAAAAAAATTAAGTCCTTAGGAGCAGATATTCTCAAATAACTATTCTTTCACCAAGGAGTTAGTTAAAAAATAAAAATGTGTATGAAAAATCAAGTGTTCATCTAATAAAATGTGCCAGACTTAATTCCTTGTTGTTGTCGTGCTCAGGTGTGAATCTGCTTTTGGTGGCAGCCCACGAGTTTGGCCACGCTCTGGGTCTGGATCACTCCAGGGACAGACGTGCACTCATGTACCCCACCTATCAGTATGTCAACACATACGGGTACAGGCTACCAGACGATGATAGGCGCGGGGTTCAAGCCCTGTATGGTAAGAAAAAAAACAAGCTGAAAGTTTGAACTTCATCCTCATATCTGTATCACATAACAGAAAATACTGTTCAACCACTAAACAACTATTAAATGAATTAATACCAATTTGCAGTATCTTTTTCGATATTATGAACTGTTTATTATATTGTATGAATTGTTTTCTTTACCCTAGAATGGGCCCTTGATATTTAAATACTTTATATTTACATCAGGAGTGGGCCACCATGTTTTTTACAGTAGCCCAAACTGGACAAACTAAACACTTTTTGAGTTGTTATGATAACCACAAGTTCTCTTTCATGTTTGTAAGGGGAGGGTGAGATGAGGGTCAGCTGCAACATGAAACTTCACCACTAGATGTCAAAATATGTAAAACATTGCCCCTTTAATGAATGTTTCTAACAGTGCATATTATAGTTTCTTTATGGAAGTGGTTGTCACTCTTGATTTTTGCCACTCCTTGTCCCAGGCAGCCGTACGCCAGTGCCCACAACCGCCCCAAAACCCAAACCGACTCCGCGTCCTGAACCTGAACCAGAGCCGGAGGAGCCAACAGAACAACCTGACCCTCTGCCAAACCCCCGAGACGAGCAGTGCAGCCGCGGGCTGGTGTTTGACGCAGCTTCCTCTGTGAGGGGAGACCTGTACTTCTTTAAAAACGGGTAATTTCTAAAAAACTTTATAATCTGTGTATTTATGCAGGGCTTGAATCTCATGTTATTTTTTAACATTTCAATTAAAATCCCTTAACAGATATTATTGGAGAAAGTCTTCCAGTGGAATCCGTTTGACTAAAGTGAGAACAAAATGGCCTGGGATCAACTATGTGGACGCTGCGTTTGAAGTCCCACACAGGAATGTGTTTTATCTGTTTGAAGGTAATTTTGAATGGGTTGTGTTTAGTTATAGGATGACTGTATTCATTCAGTAAGTACTGTGAAGCTGCTTATAATAAGCTCCAATTGTTTTTCTCCAGGTCGTCAATACTGGGGCATAAGGGCTTATGCAAAGACAAAACTGTCAGGTTATCCAAAGTCTATCACCTCCCTCGGCCTCCCCTCCTCAGTCCGTAAAGTGGATGCAGCTGTTTATGTGCCAACTACTAGAAAAACACTTATATTTGTGAAAAAACAGTATTGGAGGTGAGTGTTAGTCATGATCACATTTGATTTTGGTTTTAACACGACATGTACCTGTTGGCTGGACGTCTGAGACAATTGATCACTGAAATATTAATTTGGTAAGATAATTTACAAGCATCTATGTGTCCCATGTTTCTCTCTTGCAGCTATGATGAGAGCAGAAACCAAATGGACTATGGATACCCACGATCTATCACTTGGGATTTTCCAGGCATTGGCTCCAAAGTAGATGCAGCCTTTGAGAATTACGGTGAGGAATATTATTTCACATTAAACCTGTTTCATATACAAGCCAAGAATTACCTTTGATTGGACAACAGCAGGTAGAACACATTCTGCCAAGGCCCACCAGTCCCCTGAAATTCAATCAAATTGCATGAAATTTCACACACTCATAGATATCAGATCTGTAAATGTGCCTGATTTTTCATGAAGATCCATGAATGATTCTCTGGGAACTCTGTGAAAATGTTAATAAATCTTACAATTTGTCAAATAAAGTGATACAAATTAATGGATCTGCACCCATATCTTTCCTGAGCCATACTGCATCCTTCCACCAAATTTTGTGGAAATTAGTTTGTGTGTAATTCTACCAAATAACAGACGAATCCCAATGAAAACCTAACCAGAGTAGTAATGTGTACCATGTCAGTCTGTTTACTGGACTCTCTTTACTTGACTCTATATTATTATATTATATTATATCATATTTAGTCTGTATGTGTCTTTGTATTTTCTACTTATGAAAAGTGCTTTGTGACCCTGGGACTGTAAAAAATGGTGCATAAATGAACTTATTTTTGTATTAGATCAAATCTGCCCGATGTGTGAGAAGGCAACTGTTTGCTTTTATGTAATCATGTCATTTTATAAGGCAATTGTAATATAATTTTTTTTTCCAAATAATTCAGTTATTTTAATATAACTTCAGCTTGATACTTGGATATAAAGTGAATGTTCCCTCCCACAGGTTATCTATACTTCTCAAGTGGACCCAGACAGATTGAGTACTACCTGGCACAGAAAAGAGTGGTGCGTGTGCTGCTCAACTACGGCTGGCTCAACTGCTACTAACACAAAACTGCAGAATCCCCTGTGAATAATGTGAATTACCATAATACGTTTTATTCTTTGATGAGGGGAAAAGCGCTTGAATACAGATGTTGTTCAACATATTTCAAATAAACGCAACTGAGGCAAAGGTCAGTGATCAATCCTGCATTTTCTCCTCCTTCTTTTTGTTCTGTGTGGAATATACTGATGATGTTCTGTCATTTCAATAATGTTAGATGGCACATTTTTTGTGTGTTACAAATACATGTTAAAATGGATTCATGCAAACTCTTCTCTTAATTGCATTGTCCCATCTAGTCCTGTTTGGGGCATAGCTTGCAGTATGTTCTTATTTACCATATCAACACAGTTACACCGTAAAAAAAAACCCAATTGAAGCCACTAGTTATTCTCATTTGTGTCTGGACTATGATGTTATGAAATAAACCTATTTTTCCTGGATGCAGCAATTTTAGAATTAGGAAACGCAGTGGGTTTGTTAAGCCTCATAAGAGGAGAGCCAACATTGAAAGAGACCTGAGTCACTTCTGTGTCAACATGGATAAATGAAGGATTTAATAGTTTGCTGTTTCATGTGACGATGCAGTAACATCCAGGTTGAGGCACACAATAAACCCTGACCAGGAAGGTAATAGAGAGCACAATTGATTTTTGCCCAGGGTTTGACCGAACTTATCTTTGACTTTTCTGCTGCCTTGACATGCTGTCAACCCGTAGTATTTACATTATAACCATTGTAGAGAGCAGTTCCACTGAAAACTGTCCACAGTGAGGCCTGTGAATTATCCTGTTCAGGACACAAATAAGTCATGATTGGTGATAGTCCTAAGAAAAGATTAGGTTGTTTTCAACACATCGAAACAACCACAAAAACACTGAGGCCTGTAAAACATATCGTGGGCCGTTTTGGAATAATGAAGGATATGAGGAAAGTCATGATTGGGAAATACTTATGATTCTGTAGGGAAAATTGAAAATCAAAGTAAACAGAATGTTGAAGGTTTTCAGATCACGATGTCATTTGCAGCTGCAAGAGCACAAACACATGTGGGAGGTGTACAGAGACATGTGGTGGGTGCGTCCCTATTAAACCTTGAAAGAGAAACATGAATCTTCCTTTGGTGCTTCTAAATGTCACGTAACCTGGATAAGAGCAGATTAAAAGAAACAGTGAATGAATAGACACCAGATATTAGAGGAGAGAAAGAAGAGGAACGGTAGCTGCAAAGCAAAATCCTGGTAATTGAGTGTATTCACATTTTACGTCAGAACACTCAAAAAGTAATGACAAACAAAAGAAAGCAAATATTCAGTGTAACAAGGTAAAGTTCTTCAGTAAAGTGAAACATGTAAACAGTTCATTGGTTTGGTTTCATTCAGATGTTTGTCAGATAATGTCACACCTATCACAACACTTTGTGTTGGGTACAGATTAAAGCACACCACATATTATAACTTATTTCTATGTTCTTGCTTTCAATTAATTTTATCTTTTTTCTAACACCATTGTCTTTATTATTCTTTAACTTCTTTTTAAACCTTTTGCTAGATTTATGTTTTTATCCTAAACCTCTGTTGTATTGCTAATGTGTTCTTGTTGATCCATCTCATTTCATGTCTTTTATTCTATTGTCATAATAGATATACTTCTATCGTCTCAAATTTCAAAATAAACAATAAACAACCGGATATCCGGTGGAGGTCCCCTCAGTAAATTATGTTCGGTGGAAACAACTAATCTCTTTAGCCTCATCGTTTTTCTTCGTCGATGTCACTGAGTTATTTTCTGTGAACACATCCAAACAGTATCACCGTGTTTATAATGGACTCTGTCTGCTAACTGGTCAACATTAGCCTTTAGCCTTTAGCTTAAACACTGCGGCGGACACGTCTGAAGGTTCCGGTTGACACACGGACACAAACAATCCGGAGCACGAAGTGAAAGAAGTGAGCGGTTTTCTTTTTGCTGCAGCTTTATTCTGGTGTGTGCTCTCTTACATTTAAACAACACATACTGGTGTTCATGTCTCTAGCAGCCGTGAGCAGTCAGCTAGTCTTAACTACACTATAGCAGAGTATGCTAGCTTCTGTGTTAGCATCGCCTTGCTCACAGTCCTGCTGTTGTTGGTGTTGTCTGAGGCACGTGTAGACAGGAAGCTCTTTGTAAACACCAGTTTATATGAATGTCTCATTGACGTTTCCTGTCTCCACCGGACAGAGGTTCGTCCCTGTCTCACATGGAGTCCCTCAACACGTTTGAATCTGAGATGGAGGCTGATGGACAGGGGAACTACTCTCTGTTTCCTGCTCTGGACAGCATCGCAAGTCTGTCGGGGACTGCAGAAACTCTGGAGAGGTTGTTTTATACATTTATATTTCGATAAACGCAATTATGGCGCTTGATGACAACTTAAAGTCACAGGAAGGTAGTTTTATTTATAAAGGACATTTCGTACACACAGGTACATTCAATGTGCTGCACAGGGACATGAGAGACAAAGATAAGATGTATATAAAAAATTATAGGATAAATGATTAATTAATAATAATACACATAACAATGCATTCTTAAAATCATAAATTAAAACAGCATGATTGTCTGATTTTGTTATAATAGTTCAGTTAAAAGCACTTTGCAGTAAAAGTTTGCCTCGCTCCCATTCACACACACACACACACACACACATTAGTAGAGTTCATCTTTGTGCAGCGCATTATCACACATCAGTCACACACTACGCCCAGGAGCACTTTGGCTCAGGGAAAGGAGGAGACTGGGATCTATCCGCCGACCTTCTGGTTAGTGGACAACCCGCTTTACCTCCTGAGAATCAGTAGTTGGTGGGTGTCGTTTTGTGCTCACAGGGAATCAAATCAGTTTTGATACTGTGATTTTTATACCATCTGTTACTGTGCTTTGCAAGGACGATTCTGGACTTTTAACGTTGTTAGGAGTAGCAGACATTAAATTTAAAACATGAAAAAAGTAACTTTTCTGGTGCAACTCGACACATTTTTACTAAAATATGGAGCGTTTTCTCAAATGTGTTGATATCTTCGTTCATGTTTCCCCAAATGATACTGAACTTTTTTTTTTCAGTGAACCGCCTGGGGAAATTTCGGAGAAGCCAAACCTCACATGGCTGGATGCTGCACAGGTGCCATCTATTTCTCTTTTTTCATTGTTGTCTTATAAGAACCATGATCAATTTCTGTGTGAGGTTTTGTTTCATCATCATAACATTTCTCTCATGTAGATTGTCTTGGAGGAAGCGGGACGTCCCATGCACATAAAGGAGATTAAACAGAGAATCATTGACAGAGGACTCGTTCAATCCAAGTACAGCAATCCTCCCAATTAACTGCATCTTTTTGACCAAGTGCTCACATGCCAAACCAGGGAACTGTTACAATGGCTTATTTAAAAATGTTGACTGAATATTTAAATCTATTGTCAGGTCAAAGTTGTTACTGATTCTATATTTTGATTCTGCTTATTTTTGTTCCTCTCTACTCGGCAGTGCAAAGTCGAGCCTGGAGGCGGTCATGTATCGTGAGGTAAGGAGGGTGTTTAACACTTAGTCTGACAGCAGCCTCTGCTGTTGAGTATAATAACTTGCACGTCCACTTCACATTTGTGTTAGTTCAGTTGATACAGCACAGGTATCATCTGTATTTCTGTCACTTTTTTTTTTTTTTTTTTTCCATCCTGCTTCTTTGACCTTATTTCACAGTTTTAAAGGGGAACACTGCTGTAAACAGAGCAAAGGATTCCCTGCGCTCACACGCACA